TCCACAAGTCTTAAAGTTGCCAAGGTTGGACACCCCTGCCCTAGAACTTCCTTTCTCAGATATCTATATGACAGCACAATTCCTGATATTCAGAAAATGGAGCAATTCCATCAAACATTTAATGTTAAAAGCCTTACTGGAAGAAAACTTTTGTGATTTTAATTTAGTTTTGTAATCTGTTATTTTATTTTCCATTATCTCAATTATTGTGTTATGTTCATTTTAATATATGTTGTCAGTTGGCATGAGCATCTTAGGAGCGCAGGCATATAAGAAGATAAGATATTATATGTAATTTTCAATTAGCAACCATAATTGGAACTAGCGATTTAATTCCTAAGCCTTGTGAAAAATCACATGACCACAATTTAGGATTATTATTACTGCCTTCTCTATTAACTCTGCTTGTTGCAGACTGTGTAAATGGCAATAATGTGACTGTGGGATCTTAGACACCCATAAATGCAAACATTGGCCACAAGATTATTATACAGTATTTTTAATTCAAATAGTCACTGTACCAAGCAGTAAGTAACGATTACCTACAATACATGGTTTTACATTTGCCCTCTGTAATCTTAAAACAAGCTTTCTTGTCCGTATCCTCTAATATTATTCCCCTAGCAAGAGTCCTTTGGGGTTGGAGTTGGGTGGGTTGGCCCACTGTTCCTGGAGGTTCAGTGCTTGAATGGGTACTTGGACTTAGGTCTTCCCAATCCATGTCCAGCACTTTAACCACCACAGCTAACTGATACCAGATGAATTAAAATGTTCTGCAATTAAACCATAGAAGCAATATTGTGTGTTTTAGGGGAACAATTCCGTAAATGCAAAAATGCCATAAAAGAAAAAAAAATGCTTTAATATTTTTGTTCATAAGCAGGAAGGGGACTTGGTGGTTTGAAATCTAGTGTAGTTTCTCTGTCTTCATTTTCCTTCCGCAGACAGAATAAACTTAATCTTGGTTTGCATTCTGCTGAGCCAAAACCTGTCTGCCTTCCTGAATCAGATTAGAAATCCATCTACTGTGGCAGTTTATGGCAAGAGTAGCCAGAAGGATACCCATTACTACTTTATCAGCACAATATCATTTTTCTACATTTGTTTAATTTTCTTGTTTAAGATGCAAAAGATACTCATTTACATCAATGTTTCTGTATGATATTCAGTATTACGATAAGAATAGTAAATATGTAAACACATTATAACAACAGAAAGCAGAAAAAATGAAATATTTATTTCTACTTTAGAGCATATTGTTCTCTTTTTTTCTCCCCAGGGAAAGCTAATCCAGTATTCAGTAAATTAATAACTCAGATAGTATTTTCAGAAAAATTGACATAAGGAACTTTGCCTGACAGAGGAATTCTAAGTGTTCATATTAAATGTTACTCTTTCTACTACAAAAGCAATTAAAATAGAGACAGGTGGATAAGATTTATTCTCTATTAAGCTGCTGAGTAAAATATAATTGATAATAGCATCCATGGGCTATACCAAACAATGTTAACCTTTTAAAACTGATTGTCACAGTAGCAGAATGGTCAGTCCCATTTTTTTCTCGCCAGCTGTTCTAAAACCTTCCTGTAAGGAGGGTTACAAAAGAAATCATGTTATATATAATGCAAGAATTTGGTGGGCAGCAAGCTGCTTGGAAACCACAGTTGTTTATTTCTGACTAGGTAATATGGCTGGTTGTAAAAGACTATTTGAATAGTAGTCAGCAAAACCCAAAGCTCATTTTGACCACAGTTGAGAGGAGAAAAGAGTATTTTAAAAACCAATTTATTCCATATTTGTTTGTATTTTGGAAAACTATGCAGTTGATTTGCAGAAGCTGTACTTTGAAGATATAAGGCACAATAATTAAGTAACGTTCCTAAATACATTTTCTATGTGTCATGTTAATACATTTAATGCATTTCAGATAAAAAGCAGCATATTTACCGATGGGAATGAATAATCTAGTATATGGAGAAGCAACTCCTTCCTGGAATGTGAAGAAATGAATGTTTATCAGAAACTTTTCACTGAGAATAATTCAGATCTTGTCATATAATACTGGACATAATATAAAACTGTCCTCCTCCACTCTGCCTGCCATATACCCAAAAGCAAAACTTAGCTTCTCTGTAACCCAATAGGGAGTACTAATACAGTAGTCTTTTATTCTGCAAAGTGTATCTAAGTGTTTAATGCATATGGAATGTATTAAAACAATCCTAAAAAAGAACTGCTGTATATGACAAGGTCTGCATTTGAAGGTACAAATTGCATTGGGAGAAAATACATGATTTTGTATGGATTGCTGTTGGAGAAAGAGACATGTTTTAATGTTCATATAGTGCAGTTACGATTTTCTATCCTTCAAATACAGTACAGTAGTTGCGGTTTGTGTCTTGCTAACACATATTTTACTTTATTGTTTCTTACACTCCTAAGAACAATTTTATATAAACATCAGCAAAATAATGAATGTTAACATCACTATCTGTTAACATCACTATCTGTTAAATGTTAACATCACTATCTGTTAAAAATGCAAAATTTTAAATTTCAAAACTAAATATTTACAAGACTGTGTAAAGCAAGAATCAGCCCAAAGCCAACAATATAACATTTTAAGAAGTTAAATCAATATTAATATTAATTTAGACCATAATTTTGACTTAAAAACAGGTTGAAATTAAAGTAAGGAAGAATCAAAATACATTTCTTGAGAAAGGGAATGCCAGAAATATGAATAAAAAAGTTTGTTCCTTCTATATCAGTGTACTGAAAAGAATTCAATTGAATATAGGCAGTATTTCAAATAAACTTTTCCATAGCAAACTTTTAAAGGTCAACAAGATACCAGCACTTTAAATTGAACTGAGAAGCAAATGAGTACAGTATTCAATGGGACTGATAAGAGAATTGTATACTGTGCTCTGAACACTAATGCAAAGGGACACTGGGAAGGCCTTACTATTATCTGAGCTTGGCTGTTTCCTTGCAGTTGTTTTATTCTCCAACTAGGTAACATCGGTGCTAGTCAGACTAGCATTGATGAAGTTACCAATTTGGGTAAAGAAACATCTGCAAGAAAACAGCCAAGCTCAGGGAGTATCAGGGACCTTTCATTTCATTCCTGAGCTACAAAAATTCTTCTTTATGGGTACAAAGGTACAGTTAATTAGGGTTGCCATGTTTGGGCTGCAAAATACACATGGCCTTTAGATGACAGGATTTAAAACTCTGATTCTTCTTATCATCTAGCAGTTCTCTGAATATTGCTGCCCTCTGTTTTGAAACAGCACTGTAGATAGATCTGGTAGGCCAATTTTCATAACACCATTATAGCCTTAGGATGATAAAAATGCCACTTTTAATACTTAAATGCTATAGAAGCATTGTATGTTCTTATTATACTTGAGGGACCCATTCATTTCATTAACATTTACAATTTGAAGCATTTAAACTTTGTCATTTTTTAAATTAAAGAGAAACTTAATGTAGAAACTTAAAGGTATATTTCAGTTGCTGCATTTCAGAAATGAAATGTAATACAAATTAATCTTAAATTTATGTTTAGTTTTACCATCATTATTCATAAATCTATTCCTAATGAATTTTAACTTTGAATAAATGTATATGCAACTTATTGCTGAAAGTTACTTGATAACTGTGATCATCATTGTCATCATCATTATTTCAGCCACAAATGTACTGGTTTTTTAAAAACACCCACTTAAACAAAAATAATAGACCTGAATTTTTGATCATATAGCCTGGAAACATAAATGATTTATTGATTTTGGTTTTTATCCTCTGTACAGTCAAAACAGTTTAAATAATGTTTCTTCAAAGACCTTTCTGAATCCCTAATAAAAATTTTAGTGTGATCTGAGTTGGCTAAGCATATTCTTAAAATATAATCTAGAAAACAGATGATTTGTTGGTACTAAATCAGCCAGACAGAAGAAACACTAGAATTAATTTCAAATGGATAAATACATCATTGTGTAATCATTCAAAGACAATAAACTATTTGTCATTAGCACCAAACATGCTTCTCTTTCTGTTCATTTTTTAAAACATTTTCATCATTCATTAACTTTCTGTTTATGCCTGACTAAACACCCCATCCAGTGTATCCTTTTAGAAATATTCCAGTTTCACTTTAAATAATTGCTATCTTCTTTCTGTTAATGCTTTGTGAATAGAGTTGATAATAAAGATACCTTGATGTATAAATAGAACAGAAATTCAGTCATTTATAGAACCAGTCAAATGTCTCTAACATGTCTCACTTTATCTCAGCAACAAATGGATGGTGCTGTGAGAATATTGTAAAATTAAGTTTTCTATATATGAACATAACAGAATGTTCTCAAATGAGATTATTTTAGGTTAAATAACAGTTAACAGAGATAGTTAACCATGAATCTCTTTTGAGGCATTTATACCAAGAAATATTACATGTGTCTTTTTACATCTTTGCCTCAAAATCTGTTGATTTTACTGTATATGAAACAATATTAATGAACAATCTAATTGCATTGCTACTTACAGCAACAACCGTTCTGTCAGGTAAAGGACACTGCTATGTATAATGATGATGATATTTTTATCCAGTATATATAAATCTATATTTATATCTATTTGATCAGCTCAAGGCAGCAAACATAATATTAATGCAGGGGTGGGAAAACTACGGCCCGCGGGCCACATCCGGCCCGTTGGTCTTTTTAATCCGGCCCGCCGAAGATTGGTACAGAATTAAGGTTTGATGTGAATGATTGAATGATTGCATTCATTTGATTTTGACTTGTAATGACAGGCATTTCGACACCAGGTGGTGCATTAGGCGCAGTGACTTGATTTTGCGGAGATTTTGCAGTTTTTTATATGTATCGTATCTTGTGCTGATCCGGCCCGTCTGTCAAATTTTAAAAGTCAATGAGGCCCCCGAGCCAAAAAGTTTGCCCACCCCTGTATTAATGCCTCCTAGTTTCCCCACAGCAACAACCTTGTCAGCTGGGTTGGGCTAAGAGTGACTGGTCCAAAATCACTCAGCTGGCTTTCATGTCTAGAACCCAAAGTCTCTTGATTTCTAGGTCAGCACCTTGGCCATTGCACCAAACTGGCTCCAATGAAGCAACTCTTCTGCAATTCAAATCTGTCACATCCCTTTTCCAGACATAAAACTGTATTCTTTGCTTACCTGAAAATGGGATAAATATGTTTCTTGGGCTTGTAAAATTCTAATTGCCTTTATACTTTTAGCTGTACGCTTCTAGAGAACAATTTGTGTGTGTGCGTGTGCGTGTGCATGAGCAATTATGTGTGTATAATCACATAAACAAAACATATAGAAGTGTTAAGTATTGAGTAAGTCTTTGTGGTCAATTCTATAAGTTTGTTATGCACAAACTTCATTTTTTATTTTGAGAAAAGTTAAAATTATCAAAGTATAGTTCATTTGTATGATTCCAGTGTAATTTTTTAATGATTGAAACTGCATAAAGATATAGGGAATAATTTACATAAATATATTTAACTTAAATTTGTAAAAGCTGAATTCATGAAGATATATGCCAAAATGATTTTAATACAATACTAATGTATATTGATGCAGTAGTATAGCACCTGTAAGACACAAAGAATCAGGATCATTTCTAATGTTGAAGCATGGAAGATTTATTCAAATCTATGTACAGGAATCTGATCAACTAAAGTTCAGTACTAATTTGGTGCTAGATAGGGTTCAATGGAATTCAAGGGAGGCTAGACTTGGATCTCTGCAGTACAAGGACTCTAAATTGTGATGTGTTTTAACTCCATCCCCAGCTCTACCTGTTCTTATCCTATAGCATCATCTTAAATTATGTAACATTTTTATTCTAGAATTATGCTTTAAAAATAACAGCAAAGATCTTTTTAAGATTAAATGCAAGACCCTGTTCTTTGATTATATTACTTTGTTTCATCTCACTGCTGTTCTATAATATACCACTACAAACTAAGCAATTATACTTTTTCATGCAGCTGTTAATACTAAGTAATGATACTGATATTTTTTTCAGGATAGGGTGTGGGCCAATGTAGGGAAGAGTTTAAACTGCATTATTTCAATGGTGGACAGATTGATTGAAAAGAACACTCCCAGCATCAGTAAGGAAAATGAAAAAGAACCTTCATCAGCATCTCATATAAGTGGTAAGGAATGCATTTTTATTTTTGCAAAGGAAAAATAAAATAGAACAGTAAAATCATATACGCCAGTTCTTCGTCTTTTATGTTAGAAGGCTATTTATCAGATTATGTATTGGCAATGTAATCTGATATTGCCTGAAGTTATTAATTTGACAGCTATCACCTCCCAGTAAACTGCATGATGTTTTCAAAATAAAAGTTTTAATATTATTAATAAACATTAGGATAATTGTTCTGAAACTTCTCAGAAATATTGACCAATGGAAAGGATAATTAAATTTTAGAAATGCAAAAAGGGCATGAAGACTTGAGAGACAGGCCTCTTGAATTATCGCAGCTACTATTTCTAATATCATAGTTCATAACATTTTGAAATATGTCCCCCCTTAATTCCATGGAATGTAGTCAATGTAAGGTTTTAGAAGTTTAATATTTTTAACAGTTTAATATTTTTCTGTATTAACTATGTACTAATGAAGAAAGATGGAATCCAGCTCTTAAAATGATTTTTTTTTTAGTAATAATAAAGAGGATAGCTGGTTTAAAATGTGAGAAAAGGTATGGCAAGAGATATAAGAACAGGAGTGAAAGATTGAATTGAAATAATATAATGTAATATTGTAATGTAATAATGTAATAATGTAATAATAATATAGTGTAATATTGAAGCTAATGAACTGGAAATGATAAACTGAAGAATATGAAAGAATACATCAATGGATGGCTTTTAAATGAAAGAAAAGGTGCCTGAAGAGCAATAAGATAATTGCTCATAGCCATGTTTGCAGTTTAAAAAGTGAAGAAAATGTAAGAGTCACGAGAAAATTAACAGCTCTAGAAACATATTGACAGATGATAAAATCAAAAGGGAAAGATTGGTTTGTGAAACAGACAATAGGTCTCGGGGAATACAGATAGAATGTCAGAGGTGCAAAGTTAGTGGCATGCTATGCTATATAATACTGTTGATATAAGCTCAGGTGCTTTGGCCCAGTTAGCTTTATACATAAAATTACATGAGTGGTTAATTGCTGCTACCTAATATATGACCACATAATACACGATTTTATTGAGCAGCTTTTTAAAAAACTGGGTATCCATAATCTGTGGGTGCCAGTAAATTATGATTGTTTATTTGGAACAGTCATGTTATAAGAAGTTACTTCTTTTGTGTCATCATTTAAGATTTATATATTTATATTAGACTCTTCTCAAAGTTACCTGGGTAAAAGATGAATTGAATGCATTCTATAATGAAAAAAGTCTGGAACACATTAAAGCATCTGGATAGTTGTTTAGTTTGTCCCAGACTGTTATATCCAAGACTTCTGGCTTATGGGAGGCAGGGAAACAAAAGTCTCCTGTTTTCCTCCATAAAATTCTTGAAAAAGACAGCCCTGAGACCCATTAAAACATCATATTTGCTAAAGAAATCAGCTTTCCACCATTTCACCCTCTGCCTTTATTGTCTGCTTTGTCATATCGTGGGTTTTGCTGTCCTTTTCATAAATAGATGCATATAGATAGATATAGATAAAACTGACTTGAATTTTTAGATAAAAATTGTTTTGATGAAATAGATAAAAAATGTATGATGAGTTGTAATTAACTGAATAGTATGTTAAGGCTATCATTCTATGAGTGTTTATAACTAAGAAGTGGAAAAGGACAGAGGCCTTCAATTTTTGATGGACACATTTTTCATGGTTCAGAAAGTCATTCTGAAAGACCAAGTATCTGGAGTTAAAATGCATGCCAAAAGGGTTAATTAGAAATGAAGTTTATAATGTATATATAGCTCATGATTATATTAAATATTTTTCAAACGGAATTTTAGGGAATTGGCAATCTTTATTTTTGATAGCTCAAAAGTAGCTCACTTTTTCAACTTGGTGAATCTTTCATATTGTAATTCATTTAACTGGATTTATGCATGAACTTTCAATGCCAAAAAAAATGCAAAATTTCTAGAAATGCTGTTACTGAATGCCAAAATAGAAGTTGGATTACCAACCATATCATGAGTTTCTACAAAATGTAACCAGTTCTCTGTTTTATTTTTTAATCTTTGTTAAATTCTAATGTTGATGTTTTAGAAATAAACAGCACAGATTTCATGCATGCAACTGGATGAATTTCCTGAAGTTAATAGTGATGAATTGTGAAAGGCAGATACTAAGCAAGGCATCTAGCTTTCATCTTAGGGCCTTTCCTTTTTTTGATATTTTTATTTTGCCTTGATGAAGTTGTGGAATGCACACTTGTAAACACTGTTAGACGTTTGTTAAATGGGCTCATTTCAACAGTTCTTATTTATGAGACCTCATCTTTAGATCCAGGGCCCCTTGGATTTTAACAACTAATAAATTCAAATCAATCAGTTGAATAGTTCTCAACTGGCAGAGTTTTTTTGCTACTATGGATTACAATGACATTTCCCATTTGATTACGAGCTTGACTGATGAATATTCTGGTTTGGGATGTGCAAAGTTTATTTTTTTCAAACAAATGTTATATTTTTCAAAAAGTGATAATGAATTATTTCAAAGTGCCTCTACTAAGATTTCTGTGGTTGCCTTGATGTATGCTGTGATAATAAGCAGGGATTGCAACTATTATAAATACCTAGCAAAATCCTCCTGATGAAAGTCCATTAATGGATCTGCAATGGCAATAAAAGTTTCCGAACAAATTTTTGTTTCTAACAGTGTGAAACAGTTATATGTAGTTATTATTCAGATATGGACTTCTCTGCATTTTTCATACAAACTTTCTCCCACAATTGGGACTAAAAGATTTTATTCATATCTATTGAAGCAGCTAGGGGGAAACAACATATTGTTTCATACCTTGTCTCAAGAAAAAGAACTTTTGCATAAATTAACATACCTTGTCTCAAGAAAAAGAACTTTCGCATTAATTTTATATTATTCTGTGAATATTTAGCAATATATAAAAAAGAATAAAATAATACAAAATGACTACACTCTATTTTACTTTGCTTATCATGAAATCTGGTTCTTAAACATACTTAAAATATTAATGAAAAGCATCAGCTTTGCAAATGATTCAATAGTGAATAGGAAGTACAAAGATGTATTACATTCCCTTGGTTGTTTAATACATGTGTATTAGATTGTATGACTTTGATCAGTAAATAATACATATAGCTAAATTAATTATCAAAAATCAAGATTGTTACATGAATGACTATTATGAAAGAAAAACATAGAAGTGATTTGATCATGTAGAAAGAATGAATGCCTATCTCATCATCAATCAAATATACAGTATAAACAATTGAGAAGAAGATGGCTGATAAACATATGGGATTTCCCAAAAGGATAAAAGAGAGCATTTAAATGGAAAAGGCAATGCATGAAGCCGCATGAACAGGCAAGAGGTTTTTGCAAGGATAGAAAACAGAGAGGTAGAATGAATGGGAGTAAATTATTTTCAACTATATTTACTGTATTATTTTACTTTCTTGATATTTTCATTTCTTTGTCTTACTATTTCTGATCATTTTATCCACCTTGGATGTTTCTTACCTCAGAAAAGAATCCTTTGATAGTATGTATGCTTGTTTGTGGAACAATTTTATTTGGTTCTGTCTTTGGTTTATAGCTCTTTTGCTTTAAAATTTCTCTACATTACCAATTACATTTAAATTTCCCTAAATTGCCAGCTTTAGACTAGAAAGATATATTCCCCTTACTTTTCTTCAAATTTGGTAAATATCCTTTAAGGCTAGATTTCAGTAGTTTCCATGGTAACCATCTATGGTGTCATCAGCATTATGATTTCATTGCAGAGTAAAGCAGGTGCAAAATATTCCTTTTAAAGAATGTTTTTATAAAGTAATTATACATTTTTTCTGCTTGCACTAGTTAATCCCCATCCAAGCCTATTGTTTGGGAAAAGTCAAATGTTCACAGCTCTCCTGATGATTAAAACATTTGGGATCCTTTGGAACTCAGGTGGGAGGCTGGGTTGGCTGTTGAGAAGGCATGTGTCTGAGGTCTTATTGGGTGGCAACATTAAAGGGAGGTATCAGCCCTCCCAGGTAAACCAGACAGGAAACATAACTAAATGAGCTAACTTTACATTACTGAAATGGTACATTAACAGAACCTTGCAAATCTGATGGTACAGACTTCTATCATCACTTCCTAAGTTTCTTCCTCTGACCAATAATCCATAGGGAATTCCTGCTTCTCTTGTCTGATTCTTTTCTAAGCAACATCTCTCCCCTTGTGCCCCAAGTTTATCCACACATTCTGTTACAAGAGGGAACCTACAGAGGGAACCTGACCTAGTAGGATGGTAGTCTTTCTGTCTGAAAGATTGTAATAAGGGTGTTACTCGGTGAATCATGGGGCACCAAAATTAACTATGCCATTGCATCCTTAATCAGTTGCAGCTTCCAAATCGTTTTCGGGGGAAGTTCGATACAAAGCATGGGAGGTGACTAAGGCATGAATGAGTGGGCAGAGTCTTTTCACAATTCTAATCCATTATTAATTGATCTTGCAGGTTATTAAGGGACTGCAGAAAGCAGAGGTGAAACTCACAGAAAAGCTTACTTTTCTGTAGATATTTTTATTAAAGCAAAATGAGTATCACCTATCTTTAGTATTCTGTGGAAGCTTTGCATGAAAATAGGTAATGTTTATGACCTTAAATATTTGGAAATGCCAACTTGTACAAGCCAGCATGCATTGACAGCTTATTGAATTTTAGAAGCCGGTACTACACACACTAGGGTTTAGGAAAGTAAAATTAATATGTAAGGCATTTTGACAAATTCTTTAAAGTGTGGCATATTTACTGTCCCAGATGAATTAAGTATCGAGGATAAAAATATATAATAAATTACTATTAATTTATACAACTGATAAACATTTTAAAAACTTCATTTCTATCATTCATTGACTTTATATTATGCTATAAGATCTATAGTTTGGGGGTTTTATACATTTAAGATTTTAACCTTTTTTCACAAGTGTTACATTATAAATTCAGAATATAATGACTTATACTGTACCAGAATTTATTCCAGCCTTTTTTCTTGATATTTATTTCATTTACTTAATGGTTACACAAGGAACAGTAACTTTTTCTTCCATAATTTTTATCCTTTGACTGATTAATTTCATGCTGGTTATATTTTGATATTATTAACATATATCTAAATTGAAGATTGTTAATAAAATATAATAAATTAAAATATAGTCCATTAAATTCTGTACAGTTTCTTGTTTCCTGTTCTTTGATTGGTTGTTGTTTTTCTTCATGTGTATAAAGTGTAAAAATATATTGAAAAATACAACATGATGATGCTGGAACATTCCAATAAATTGGCAAATTTTTGAAATTGCAATTTCAAAATATTTACCATATTTTTCAGACTATAACATGCTCCAGACTATAAAACGCACCTAGCTTTTGGGGAGGAAAACAAGAAAAAAAATCTGCCTCTGCCTCCCAGCAATTTGTCTCCTTGTAGCAAACAGCTTGGTCAGCTTCAGCACAGCCTGATTTAGCACAAGCAGCTGATTGGTGGTTGGATCAGCCTCCCAGAATACCTACAATCAGCTGTTCCAGGCTGCAGGGATTGCTACGACCCATCACCACTGCCTATTGCCACCTTTGTGCGCCCCATTTTCAGCCTCTGCACATCCCATTTTTGGCCTCTGTGCATCCTGTTTTTGGCCTGTTCTGGGCGGTGGGAATTGCTGCCGCCTGGAATGGCCAAAAATGGGACGCGCAGAGGCTGAAAATGGGGCACGTGGAGGCAAAAAAACGGGACGCACAGAGGTGACAGGCGGTGACAACGGCGATAGGTGGCAGCGTTCCCACAGCCTGGAACAGCTAATCATCTGTATTCCCGGAGGCCAATCCAACCACCAATCAGCTGCTAGTGCTAAATCCGGCTGTGCTGAAACTGACCAGGCTGTTTGCTTTTGCTACAAGGAGGCAAATTGCTGGGAGGCAGAGACCGAAGGGTGGGAGCCGAAGGGTGGGCAGGGCTTCATCAACATTTGCTCTATAAAACACAGACATTTCCACCCACTTTTGGGGGGGAAGTGCATCTTATGAATAGGTTAAGCTTGCATGTTATCAGCCTGTTTCCATTTTTAAAAACTTCATTTTCAATAGATGAGTACTATATTTTTCTTGAGCTGCTTCAACCTGGAGATGGAATTTGAAAATTGAATATGCTCCCATCTAAAAATAGGGTGGAAAACAATGTGAAGATATAAAGTCAGATATCATCAAAATTGTTGTCCCAGTCTCCCTGTCATGCTAGTTTCCATTTAGTAAGATTTTTACAATTTCCCACTATGAGAGAAAAACAATGTGGAATTGCCATTCAGCTGTAACCTGCAGTCACCAATGAGATATGAAATAATAACTGCTGTTCACCTGGATTTCTTTTATTCTTAGGTAGCAATCTATAATATGTAGAATTTCTGCTTGTGGAACATTTTATCAGTGACATGAAGTTGATGGCACTTTTGGATGGCATCCATCTTTGGGCACTAAACAAGCTTTTATTTTAAGATGCTGTCACAAGGCTGTAGCAATATATCTTCCAGCATTATGTCCAGATGAAAAAAGCATGTTTATCCTCTGTTCATTGCAATTATGATAGAATTGCATTCAATAGTTAAATATCTCTTTAAATATCTCAATAGTTAAATATCTTATGGTTTTCCCATCACTCTTAGTTTAATATATAGGAATTTTGTCTGTTTTTGTCTCTGGTGGGGGACAAGATTCTTGGTTGCTGCTCCCTCTAGGTACTCTGGGTTTTATTGCCAATTTTATAGCTATTGTGAATATCAAGCCATCCAGAATCATGGACTCATGCAACCTAGAATTTAATAAAAAAAGTAAGTATTGTTTTAGAGTTACCATTAAGTCATGGAGTTCTGGTCAGTTTCAGTTTTTAAATCACTTCTTTAGTTTTATATTCTGTTATGGTTTAATTAAAAAGATTTTTGTTGAGCTTTAACTTTTACAATATTGTATTCACATATTTTTCCAAGTTTTGCATGCCAGATGTCTATTTACTATATAATATTGTTCTGTCATGTCTAGTGTAGATACTTGTCTAGTTCCATCATGTTAGTAATATTTCTCTTGTATAGTTCTTTTTGCAATTGTTGGGTTATTTTTGTATCATTTATCTTTTAAAAAAATGTTTCTACAGTAGCATTTTTTTTGAATATTCACAAAAATGTATATAGGTAATAATCACGTGAAATAATATGACAGTTTGGAGGTATTCAGTCAAACAGATCTGGCTACATCATGAGATCATGAAAATAAATGGAAGTGAACTTAATAGATCAGTAGTGGACTGCAATTTATTGGAGTTAAGAGAAAGGGTGGAATGCATGATAAAATGATAAGAGATATGATTTGATATGTGATGATATCACTGAGACAGAGCAAGTCCTTTCAAACTGATGCACTTTTCAAATACTGAAGGAGCACTAGTGAATAACAAAGTGGCTTTTAATATTTAATGGGAGTGAATTCTTTTGCTTCTACTCTATTTAATTTTTTAATCCTTTTCATCCAGGGGAGGTTCACCTGACAATATAGAATAGGAAGATACAGAACATTTTTATGGGCTTGTTTTAAACTCATTGGATAATGCCAGCACAAATGGTTCAGTGTTCCATGACTATATAAGTTAAATATAGTATCTATAATAACAGTGCTTACAATCTAGTAAAGGATCGAGAAAGAAAGATGACCATTTTCTTTTTTATTCTTCTTTCACCTCTTTTCATCTTTTGAAGATAAAAATGGGAAATTATTTGGAACTGAAAATATTATTAAATATGGTACACATTCTTATATTATAAAATAGTTACAAAGCAAAATATGGTGATTTTTTCATGAATGTTGAAACAAAAATTAAAACAATTTCCAAGGCAATAGCACTAGACTGAGAAAATCTGCATTCCATTCAATATTTTTTTCTGAAATAAATATGTCAGAAGTGTTATGCAAATAGTTTCAGATAGCCACATGGACAGCATACCTACATGAAATCAACAATATTTAGTGCTACTTTAGGTTATAACGAACATCTTGTTTCTATAGTGGTACAATGAGAGCATATAATAAGCTACATAGGAAAATGATGTTCTCATAATCAGGCACATAACCTTAAATCAGTATGTCCGTGAATGAGATATGATAATTACATATGTTCTGATATATTTCAATTCCACTTTGATGGTCACTGTCAGTGTTCCTCTGTTACAGGTGACTGGTATGAACAACTATATCCTCTCACAGTTACACTGAACGACTGTATTGGAGAAGTGGTGACTAGGGCAAAGGAGTCGATGTCTTTTGTTCTGCTTCAGGAGCTTGCATGTTGTTTGCCACAGTGTTTAACGTTGACATTAAGAAGAGATATAGTCTTCAGTCAAGCAGTAGGTGTTTTATTTTGATAATCCTTTGTTTTATTGAAAAATAATAGATGTAAATCATGTAAGCTTTATTTGAACCAACTTTAAGGACAGCAAAGAATATCTTCATAATTCTGAAGCATCCTTCTTCCACCTGGTTTCATATCATTGTGTTGAACTACAACTGTCATCATCTTCAGTCAGCAAGTTAGTTGGGAATTTTGAAAATTGTAGTACAACACATCAAAGAGTTCAGTCTGTTCAGTGACATGTTCCTTCTGCTCTCCATTAATAATTCACTAGCCTTCTTGCAAGACACAACCCTGAGTGCCTGCTTATGAGCTATATTCATTGCAAGAGTATTTTATTGGCGAAATCTGAGTCAGGTGTAATGCTTACCACATATTTCAGACATTCAGGAACAAGATTATTTATTGTAAAATGATCTTTTTTGCCAATCCATTTGAAGCCAACACTTTAACACATCTTTGAAGCCAAAGAAATACATCTTTGATGGATTTCTCTGGTATGTTCTGCAATATTGAACAGTGCTTGTTTATTTACTTCAAGAAGTCACTTTATTTCTTTTCAAGATGATTAAGAAAATAAGTAAATAATCAACAAATCAAACACTTCAACACTGCTAGAAAACAACCACATATAGACATTATTTGTCTCTAATATTTGCCACTTAGCCCTCCTGAAGGAACTATAAAAATGGCAAGTCATTTCAATAATGGAATGATCCTTATTAATGATAATAAAGTAACATTAAGAATTTAAAATGATTTTATAATAATTAGTAGTATTCTACTATCACTGTCTAAACAAGGACCAGTCTTTTGTCTATATAGTCACAAATCCGAGTGGCAGTGCTTATGTAGCTTAAACATGAGGCTTTTCAGCCTAGTGTCTCACAATAGCTGAGATCAGCTTCCAGCAGCATCATTGAAACCTGACACTTCAGATTTTATAAACCTGCCAATCTCACAGAAGTGGTTCTTCGTTTAAAAGTCATCTGTTAGTGCATTCCCAAAGAATTATCCTTTACTGTCACAGCAAAAGAAGTTTAGATCCTGGGCAACAATAGCTTAAAGGCAGCAACAACTGGAGAGGCATATAAGTAGAAAGAAAGAAGTGCAAAAGGTGCCTGTTTCCTCTTGTGTACTTTGAGGATTGATTACTATTTTAATCCAATTATTTATTTATTTATTTTCATTAATGTATTAATTATAATTGTAATGAATTTTCTAAATGAGAAAATTTTTCTATGGAAAGCATTAAAATTGACACTGAAAGTTTTGGTAGACCTTGACAACAGAATAGCAATGAAACAAAAAGAGGAGCAGGCTTAAGCTTAGCTCCTGCTGATGAGATAGAAGAGAAATTCATATAGTATTTTTGACAAGAATATACTTATCAGGTCCAATATTACTACAATTATAGTCACTTAACTCACAAATAGCAACAGCGAAAGCTTGCTTATTGATCTGATGGATTTATACTCCACCTTTATTTTATCATTGAAAATATAACAGCCAATAACAAAACCACAAAAACAGATCCTAAAAACAGAATAATAAAGCTACCAGAACTTCTTTCTGTTCAAACAATGAATTTATCTAATGCTTTGGCCCAGTGTTCAGGAGTTTGTTAAGGCATTTCAGAAGGCCAATATGGTCAAAGACATCCAAATGTTTTTGAAATCAGCCAATGTCAGCTAAAGGAAAACAAGAACTAGAGCAACAGCTCATTTTTATCTGATCTGTGAGTCAATGTTACTCTCAGCATGATGAAATAGGATCTTTGGCTGATTGATAAGGCTGTTTAAGACTTTCCAGGTCCAATCTGTATGTATAATTTACATAGAGCTATGTTTGCTATTAAGATGTCTTTTGTAGCTCTTATTTTTTAAACTGAAAAAAGGAGGAGATTGAAGCAGATATATAATTATATGTTTTAATGATCTAACCTAAGATTTTAGGGGGTCATCTGCAGCAATAAAAACTCTGTAAGCTACATTGAAGCAGTCACTAGTTCTCAAAACCTAGCATTCTTTTTTCAAATTTTGCACACAATATACTGTGTGCAAAATTTGAAAAAAGAATGCTAGGTCTTCATAATATACTGCCCGCAAGCCACATGCAGTCCACCAACTAATTTTTCTCAGCCCACCTGCATTTTTTAAAGTTGACATACACTAAAAAGTTTACATCATACACTAACACTTGTTACAAATCACAGTCTAAAACATATACTAAACTACATAGACTATACATTCATAAACCTGACCAATACACTACTACTGTTTCTAGAAGCATTTCACCTACATGTAGAAATGCATTAACAAAGAGATCATCATACCACTTTTGCCTTTCTCCTTGATTAATGTAGAACTATTCATTAAGTGTTCTATTAACTCTCACACGTTTTGCTTTTATCGTAAACCATTCTTATTAAATTTATCAAACAACTAGCAAGCCCAAATGTGCATGTTTTCAATTATCAGTTGAAGAACCAAAAATTACACATTCAATCAAAATGGCATAACAATAACTATATTTATAAGGAAATAAATAAAATGCACCTCTTAAGACTAGGACTGGCACCTAATATCCCTTCTAAGCTCTGGATTGTAACTATCATAAGCTTCATTAGCCATATTAATATGATCTGATGGAAATTTGTTTGTAGACTTTTAGCCCCTTTTCCAGAAATTTCAAATGGCATACATAGCACTCTCTTCTGCACCATCTGCATCAACACTCTCTCAAATAACAAACCTGTGACACTTCTGATGGGAAATTATTCACTCAAAGTTACGCAGTGAACTATGGTGGAAGGTAAACTTTAGCTTGCAGGTTCTGAACATGATTTTGAATGTATACCATCAGGAAGATGCTAGCTTATGATTAATAAAGATCCAAGAACTTATACCCTCTCTCCTGCCATTTATTCATATTCTTTCAAGACTAATTTGTATGGCAAGAATATACTGAGCATTGGATCCAGTGATTCTGATTTGATTTATATAGTTATGGTAATTACAACTTTTGGCTGAAGCAATTAATATATCTGTTTGTGTGGTTATTGTCATTAACTTAGCTTGCTGGATTGATCTGTGGATTCATCATCAAGTTACACTCCAATTTATGCGATCAAGGCTTCCTCCAGCAACTTCATACAGTGGGCCTAATTGTTCAGTATGAAGGACTTCTCAGTACATATAGTAAGTATGCACCTCAGATAACTATTGACTTTACTCTCAGAGCAAATAAGAGAGGTGAAATGGAAAGAGATACCTAGAAGGGTGCTGAAGGGTGACAAATAACAAATCTGATTAAATACCAGGATATGCTTTAGACTGACAACATAAAGCATACCAAAGTCAACAAAATTGGTAGTGAACTCATCAAAAGAGGGAAGAAGATCTTAAACTACAAACTCAGTGGTGGAAATCTATCAAAGCAATTAATACGTGAGCAATTCCATTCATTAGATATACAACTGGAATAATGGATTGGACTCCAGCTGATCTAGAAGCCGTGGATAGAAAGACTAGAAAAATAATGACAATGAATCATGCCCTTCATCCATACAGCAATGTTGACAGACTCTATTAACCAAGGAGCATAGGTGGGCAGGGAATGTTGCAAGTACACTAGACAGTTGAAGAAGGCAAAAAGAGCACTGGAAGAATATCTAAAGAACAATCTAGATACACTGAAGCTAGTACACATGAAGATTTATTGAATACCAAAGAGACCAAATTGACTTATAAGAAAAACCAAATGAAGACTAGAAAAGAGACACGGCAAGACAAAGTATTATATAGCCAGTGTACAAAAAAATTAGCAAAGCAGATAACAATACCTGGCAATAGCCAAGAGCAAGAAATTTGAAGAAAGAGACAAAAATGCTAATTCTGACTACACAAAACCAAGCCATAAAAGTCTTAAAAACAAATGCATACAAAGCCAGAATTGAGAATACAGAAGCAAAGAAGTTGAAGAAACAGTTGACTACCTAGTTAGCTGCTGAAAGAAGAGCCCATAGGCTGATTCCAAACAAAGGCATTACAATGCAACAATGGTGCATTGAAATATCTGCAAGAAATACCATTTGCTTGCAAACGACTAGTGGGCCACAAAATAGACAAAGTAATAGAAAAGGAAGGAGCTGTGCTCTGGGGACTTTAGAATTCAAATAGACAAGCACCTGCCACACAACACCATTTAACAATTATTGATTAGTAAGCCAAAAAGTCTAGATAGTGGACATTGCAATACCTGAAGAGAACAGAAGAAAAGCGAAACAACTGGAGACTATCACAAAATATAAAGACTTGCAATTAAAAGTAGCATGGCTGTGGCAAGGGAAAGCAAATATACTACCAATAGTAATGGGCTTCTTGGATCTCATCCCGAAATATCTGGAACACTTGGGTATTGACAAAATCACCATCAGTCCATTGCAAAAGGCAGCTTTTCTTAGAACAGCTTATATTCTGTGACAGTTTAATATAATCAAACAACATCTATCTATCCCAGATCCTTAGGAAACCTGGGAACTATGTCAGAATTCTCTTCATAGACTATAGCTCGGCCTTTAACACCATTTTGCTGGGCATTCTTATTGAAAAGTTGATTGACTTGAATTTCCCTCCCCTGACCTGTGATTGGATTAAAGACTTTTTGACGGACCATCCACAAACAGTGAAGGCTGGGTCCTTTACATCCTCCTCCCTGAAGCTCAGCACTTGCTTTCCTCAGGCTGTGTGCTAAGTCCCTGCCTGTACTTGCTGTACACACATGACTGAATATCTTCTGATCCATCTAATATGACAATAAAGTTTGCACATGATACCACTGTGCTGGGTCTTATTACAGGAGGGACGAGTCAGCATACAGGGAAGAAGTCCAGAAGTTATCTACATGGTGCTCAGAAAACAACTTGCATCTAAACACCAGCAAGACAAAGGAGATGGTGTTGGACTTCCAGAAGCAGAAAGGAAACTGCCCCGCTCTACAACAAGGGGGGCTATGTGGAGAGGGTCTCCTTGTTCAAATTCCTGGGAGTGCATCTTAGCCAAGATCTCACCTTGAAAAATAACACATTCCAGGTGGTTAGAAAGGGCCAGCAGAGATTCCATTTCCTTAGGATCTTGCAGAAAAATCAGGTGGAACAATGGCTGATGACTTCCTTCTACCGGTCCATGATAGAAAGTGCCCTCACATATTGTGTCACGGTATGGTACACTGGCTTAATAGCCGCGGACAGGAAGGCACTACAGAGGGTGATGAGCACAGCACTAAAAATTATGGACTGCTCCCTAGCCTCACTGGAGAAAATTGCCAGGTCCCGCTGTCTTAGCAGAGTGAGGAAAATCGTACGGGGCAACTCACATCCTGGACAGCATTTTTTTATTCTCCTACCATCGGGTAGGAGATATAGAAGGATAGCCAGCCAGACAAATAGAATGAAAAATAGTTTCATTCAGACTAGTAAATGCAACATAACACCACAATCAGGCTTAATGTGATAGACTTATAGTGCCAGTGTATATACCAATGTAATATATGCATGTATGGAGAAATGTGTGCTAGTTTATTATTTATTTGGGGTTAGAGATTTCTTTCTATTTATTGAGATGTATTCAGGAGTGGGTTTCTACCGGTTCTGTCCACCTCTGTAGAGCAGCAGACATAGAACCGGTTCTATGTCTGCTGATGTTTTTGCCCAGCCGCTGACCCGGGCTCTTACCTGATCTTTATTTCCTGATTTTTCAACTTCAGCTGCCGTGCGAGGCACAGCTGCAGTTAAAAAAGCAGGAAAAAAGGGCTTTTTCAAAGGCTGCTTCTCTGCACACAGCATCCTGATGACGATTTACAGACGCGCACCGGCCGCGTGCAGGGAACCACATTGTAAATTACCAAACCTCATAAATCACCAAACTGGTAGTTAACCCTGTCGGATCCCACCCCTGGATGTATTCCGTGTTCTTGGGTGGGCTGCACCAAGAGAGGCTCATTCAATTTCATTGTACACATGTTGTGCATTGACAATAAAGGTTTGAACTTGAACTTGGGGAAGAATGCAATAGGTGGACAAAAATACCAGCTTCAGTCTAACTGCGCAACCAACCATAATAAACACTTTACATCTGTCAATTGCAAAAGGCTTTGGATCTGAAAATGTACTATGCCAACGTATCACAGTCTCCTAGATTGTTGGAAAGAACTTGATGCAAATGAAAGCCAATGTCAGCCAAAGAACTGCTATAATTTTACAATGTTGTATAATAATATCCTAAAAACCTGAATGGTGGCTTTTATGCAATAATGAGGAAAAAGATGAATTTATTCACAGAATGTGCTCATAGTGGGTTCACATCATACCTTGCCAGATTAAACAACCTTATTTATGGCTTGGTGCAGTAATACTGCACTGCAGTATGTCAACCTAGATCTAGGTCTGCATTTGTTTTTGTGAATAAATTTCTCAAAATATTCCTGGTATGTGGGAAAGTAGGAATTTACATAAAAGTTGTACAACATATTTGTTATATTATCCAGAGATCTCTGGTTAATAATGTAAATAAAATAAACCCATAATAAGCAAATAATTAAGGGAAAGAACTTTTTGTAAAAACATGGTAAAAGTAGATATAGTTTAATCTTAAAATCTGACATCTATATTTGATTTACATTGTTTCCTTTAAACCAAGCAGATTGCTTGTCATGTATATTTTGTTTTCTTTTTTCTTTTTCTTTTTTTTTTCATTATAGGTGATGAAATTGGGATGCTAGAAGATATGGCTGTGGGAATATCAGACTTGCAAAAAGTCATGTTTAAAATAACTGAAACTAAATCAGATGACCTAATGCCTGTTATAACTGGAAGACGGTATGTATTCTCTTGTTCTTTAAAAAAAATGTTAATTTGATGTAGCACAAAAATAAAAATTGAAGTTATGTGATATTTAAGAAAGAGACAGAAATCAGAATGAACACCTTTTAAGGAAATTGCAGGTGATGTGGTTAGCCGGCAGCAAGTGCGGATGGTGGAGGAGAGCGAGGACTCAGATGAGGGGCCAGGACCATTAGGGAGTGGCCTTCAGAGATTGTGGGGGTTGGCAGCAGTGATGAGGATGTTCCCGAGGAGCCTGTGCCAAGTGTGCGTGCGCACAGGATTATCGTAGGAGAGACCAGTTACAACAGCACGGGCGACTTGGGAGTAAGTCTGCAAGGTAATGGCCCCTCCCTCAAGAGAATAAAAGCCAGGTTTGAAGAAGCGTTCTTTACAGAAGGCAAAGATGCTCTGAAACTCAGCCTCGTGGACATTATAGTTAGTATTTGAAAACTCTTGTAAACTGTTTCTTATCTGTGGGTTTTTGGCAGCCTTGACAAACAACTTGGCAAGGCTCTTTCTTGTCATAGCTAATTAGTTGGAAGCAGCCTTTTATCTGTGAAGAAACAATTTGTGAATTAAACCTTAAAATGTGGGGGATGCTCTCTTTGTCTTGTGTTGCTCTCTTGGAACCAGGTTGGGTCAGAACAGGTGACATGATGTTCTGTTTAATGAAATTGCAGGTCTCATTAAGGAAATAAACTCCTTTGATTTTAATTGTGTAATTTTATAGTGTCAAAAATGAAGAGGGGAGAATAGGTGTCTTTCTTTTTATATGAAAAAAACTAAGCAGCATGTCTTCTGATGCTTGAGTATAGGTGTTTCTTTGCTGTCTAAGACCAAGCCTGGCATAGACCCAACAAAATATTATGATTAGAACAATACAAGTAGTCCTCAAGATGTGACTGTAATGGTACTTGGCCATTATAATTGCATATTGCAATGGCAGTTAAGAAAATGCCTCACATAATAACCCCATATCTCTGCTGTCCCCTCTGCAATTGTTAAACATCCAAGTCATTAAGTGGAGCAATGAATCCTTCAGAGTGAGGGGATGCCCTTGGAAGCCTTAGCACAGACCCAGGCTAACCTTCCTGGGCCTCCCAAGCCTTCTCCCATCCTCCGAGGCACCCAGTGGTCTCTCCCAGTCCTTCAGGGTCTCCCAGTCCTTGGCCTGCTCCCAGCCAGCTATTCAGCCAAACACGGGAGCTTAAAGCAGGTCAGCAGAAGCAACTGGCATGTGGTAGGCAGTTACAGCCTATAGGCCAAGGCCTACTTCCCATCTGGTCACCCCAGGGACTTGCAGGACTCAATCTGCTCCTCAGCCAA